ATGTTCTCACAAGGGAAAAAGTGTTCATGTTGTACAAAAATCCCCCTAAGTACCAACTATCATGCTGTGTTCTCTTCAAAATGATTTTATTTACACACAATCATTTTTTATAAGAGGATCCAGTGCCTATACCATGTCTACTTAATATCTAGTAGTGATAGTTCTTGTTGAAAGGCTAAGATATTCCAAAATATTCTATTAATGATGTCATTATGCTAAAAAATATATAATTTTTACTGACTTTCATCCTTTCTCACTGGCTATAAAGTAAATTCCAGAAGATTAAGCTCAGAGAATGTCAGCAAAACTTTAATGAAAGAATGACTTTTGAATTCAAAGCTATGTAGAACTTCATAAAAACCCTGGCAAAAAAGCATGAAAACTCCCTAGCTAAAAGCCATTTTTATCAAAAACTGGAAAGGTCATATAGTCATATCCCATAATTTAGCTGAAGAAAATTGAACTTATAGAATGTCAGAGTTTTAGTATATTGTACTGTTTTCTTTTTCTTAATTATTTTTTACTTCTGATAATATAAATTAATTTCCTTTCTGTCAGTGAAAAAGCCATCTGAATAATCAGTGTAATATTCAGGTCCAGGGCTTATCTACAACTATTTATTTGAGCAACTCAATGATGTTCAAAAATACTTTTTTTTCCCACCATCTAACTTCACCTGATCAGTGACAGCAGGTATCTAGAAAAAATAAGATAGGTTTCTAGACCTGGAAAAGATGAAAAACTGACTGCTTGGTATTCTGAAGATTGGTTATATCAGCCTGCAAACATTCTCTCATTATTTTAATCACACATTCCATAAAATACTTCTGGATCCTTTGCCAGAAAGATAAAAACAAATTAAACTAAAGGGCCAATAAGAACTAAATATCTTATTCTGGGAGCACCATCACTGATAGCTTCAGAAAAAAATAAAATAAAATGGAGACTTCAAAACATTCTTCCACAGAGCAGACAGTGTCATCAAGAAACAGTCAAAAAATAAAAATAGAATAATAGTGTACAGATATATGAATATGGTTCTTCTCATGGCTCCCAAGATTCTTTCTTCATAACATTCTTACAGTTCATATCATTTTCCATAAATATACAATTATTTGTTAGATTGAAAGCTCTCCTAAACACCATGTCTTCTTCATATGTGGATTCTCAAAACTGGAAAATAGCACTCACCATTGATGTAATCAGTGTTCAAAAGCTTTTCTTAAAATGTTCTTTGAATATCTGCAGGATTCCCTTATTGTTCATAATTCCTGAAAAATCAAATGAACTTTACATCCAGCCAATCTGAAATTACTACTTCCTATATACATCTGTCTCTTTATTCTTTTTCTCTTGCTGTTCCTTGTGTCTTGAATGCCCAGATCCTACCCATCCTTCAAGGACTATGGCAAACAGCCTCTTCTCTGTGAAGCATTCTCTGATTTCCCCAGAAAGAAGTAATCTTTCCCACTTTTGAAGTCCCATAGCTTTTATCTTACCTAAACCTTCCTATGTTTCTTAATTATACCACAAGCATCTAAATATATTACATAAGTGACTATCTCCACCTTTAAGGAAGGGCAGGTGTACAACTATATTTGAAGAAGTATTTACTAGATGACTACCTTAAAGTCTGTGGCTCCTATGGAGGGAAACTTCTGAGTCAGAATCCCCCCACATCCTATTAACCAGGATTTCTTCTCTTTGCATCAAAGGCCCCCTCTGGGAAGACAAACAAGAAAGCTCCCAAAAGCTATGTAAACAGCTGTATGGGCAACTGCAAATACTATTCCCCCACAACGGGAACATCTGAAGCATCTCTGCTGATAGGAGAAACTGTAGGACAGGCCATGGCTCTTGCCTAATTACCCTGAGTGAAGCTAATGCCAGTTTGACCAATGACAGTTCTGTAAGTTTCAATGTTTAATTGAATCTAAAATGACCCAGTGGTGAGTGTTTCAAGTACCTTATTAAGAAAATTGAGTGAATTAGTACATATAAAGTGCTTAAATAGTGTCTGGCACATAGTAAAAACTCAATAAATGTTAGCTATTTTTGGCCATGGTCAGAAACTGGCAAAGTAGGAACAGGAACTTAGGTATAGCTGATTCAAGATCCTGTGTCCTTAACCATTACACTTAGTTCTTTTCTATATAGAACGAATTCTCTATTTTCCCCTCTAAACCTGCTCTCAAAAAAAAAAAAAAAAAAAAAAACTTAGATGCATACTGCAGTGCAAAAATGTGACTTTATTACTTTCTCATTGATATCCACATTCATAAGTCTGAAGAGCAGGTGCACAACTATATCAGATGAAATATTGACTAGAGACTTCCTTTCTCATTGATATCCACCTTTATAACTCTGTTCCCAAACCTCTTAACACCAGATATTACTGTTATTATAATTATCTGAAGAAATTATGATGAACTATGAGTACAAAGTGCTTTTCCCCTCTAGAGAAACAAAGCAAAACATTCTGAAAAAAAAAGTGAGTCACTAAAAAGTGTTTGCCATTAAAGTGGGTATAGATGAAAAAGTATAAAAGAATTAGGGTGGGGGCAGCACCTGTGGCTCAAAGGAGTAAGGCACCGGCCCCATATGCCGGAGGTGCCTGGTTCAAACCCAGCCCCGGCCAAAAACTGCAAAAAAAAAAAAGAATTAGGGTGAAAATCATGATCTTAGACTGTTTCACTATATGTTAGTTCCTGGACCACTTTAAAAACACCACAATTGGAACTCAAAGTCTAACATGGAAGTCTAATCAGTACCTTTTCCTTCTTCCCTCCACCCCTTCCCCATTATCAAAAGACTAGCAAATAAAATGTACCAAAATAATTTAAGTTGAAACAAAATGTTTCCCCTCTGTCTCTTTCCCACCAATATATGTAATTTTTATGAGTTCAATATAATTTTTATGGGGATGGAGGACCTGTGGTCATGGGGCCATGTGACACTCTGGATCCTTGAGTGTGGCCTTTTGTATAATCTAAATTTTACAGAACAAATCCTTTTAATAAATAGATTGGGAGTGGCTGTTATTACTGAGGAAATCTAATAAAAGTGAGAAAAGAAAGAAAGGGGCCAAGGGCAGAAGCATGGGTGATATTTTCCTGTTAATAAATGGACTTGTTCTGTGAAGTTTGGATTTGGAAGGGGGCCTGCCTTTGGGGACCTGGAGGGCTACAGGTTCCCCAACCAAGGTCAGGAAAGAGATAGAGAAAGAGACACAAGCTACATAGACAATACACAAAGTGACAGAGGTCTGAGTAGTATGGCTTGTTGAGAAAAATGTCAATAAAAACAAGGGGTTCAAAACAGAGGATAGCAGCAGACCAAAGAAACAGGTAGGGTCTAGATCTTCAAGGGCCTTATAAGGCAGAATATGGAGGATGGACTTTAACTGAGAGAAAATGGAGCAAACAGGGCTTCAAGAACCAAAACATTAAATTATCTAAAAAAGATAATTACAGCGTGACAGTAAGGATGACTTGGTGTATAGAAAACAACAGACTTGAAGAAAATTACTTCAACAGTCCAAGGAAGAATTCAGAGTCTGGGAATAAGTAACAAGGAATGAAAACGAACGTGTCACAAAGGTGGAATAGGACTCGGCCACAAAGTCCTTAGCATGTGAATCTAGGAAGGAGAATGAATACAGGGAAACTGGTAGCTCTGATCGCTTAGTAGCTCTACAGATCCTGGACAAATTATTCTCCCAGTTGATTTTAAAGACGAAAAAGGATTTGCAGAAGTCGTTTTTAGGTCGTTTTCAGCTTGAGCCTCTAGGACAGAAAACAGAAATACCCAGTGTTTAGCTGGACACGCATAACTGGACTCCAGGAGAAACATCAGGCCAGGACTGGAGACTCTGCTTAATCAATCCTCTGGAGCGTCTGAAGCCTTAGGCTGTTACTACTGAGGAAGCCCAGAAAAGCTGAGGGAAAAAAGGGGGCCATGAGGGCAGCGCTTGTGGCTCAAAGGAGTAGGGCGCTGGCCCCATGTACTGGAGGTGGTGGGTTCAAACCCGGCCCCGGCCAAAAAAAGGGGGGGGTAGGGGGGCCGTGGGCAGAACCATGAGTGACACCCATTTTTCAGAGAGGAGAATGACAACTGGACGAATACCAAGAAGGAAGCTCTGAGAGATGGACGCACATTCTGGACAGGGGCACCGCAAAACTGCGAGGCACGAAGGGTTCGAGGAGAAGCAAGGCAATCATGTCAGAGAGCTTTGGTAATGTTGGAAATATTCCACGGGATCCAACAATTTTGAGGCTATGAGAATCGTCCGCCAAGACCAGGCGTCCTCAAACTGCGGCCCGCCGGGTGTTTTTGCCGCCGCTGCCTGTCCTGCTTAGCAGCCGACTCGTCCCGGGGCTGCAGTCCGGCCCTCCCATAGTCTGAGGGACAGTGAACTGGCCCCCTACTTAAAAAAGTTTGAGGACCCCTGGCCAAGACGAAGGTTTTGTGAGGTGTGGACAGACCAAGAGAAGAGACCTGTCTCCTCAAGGTGCGCGAACCCAACACAAATTCCTTACGGCACCTCACAAGGTACCGTCCAGTTTCCACGCAAATTCCAGCCCTTTGGAAACTCAGTTGTGCATGTCCCCCCTTCCCCCAGCTTCGAACGCACCCCCCTCCCACTCCAGCAAACATCTACTAAGCCCCCCAAAACCCGGACAAGGGGCCTCGCCTCCAAAAGCCTCTCCCTGATGCTCCCCGGGAAAATCAAAGCCCTTCATTTTGTGTTAGCGAAATTTTGTCCGTACCTCACACGGTTTTGTAATTATCTGTTGTGCATCTGGCTCAAACCACACTGGGAGCCAGACCGAAAAGTCAAGGAAAACTGAGGGACCGACGGGATGCGCCCTCACAGGCTGCGCGCGAGAGGGCGGCAACTACAACTCCCGTGAGGCCGTGGGGCTGCGAGACCCACAAGGCCCAGCAGCCTCTGCGCGCCCCAGCCTGTCAGCGTAATAGGCGCTGCGTGAGGCGCGTAAATGTTCGTGGAAGCGGTGGAGAGGAAGCAGCGTTTCCCGATGGCAGCGTTTGGAGAGGAGCCTGAGGCTCCGACCGAGCAGCTGGATATCGCGCGCGGCCTTGAAAACTTGCCTGTGAGCTTGTGGCCCCCAGGGGCCGGGCCCGGGCCCTTCCAGGTAGGGGGCGGGGCGAGGCGACTCGAGGGGTGGGCGCGCGGCTCCCCAATGTGGCGGTGCTGCTACGTCTGTTACTGTGGCGGTCTCCCAGCTTCTGGAGCACCGGATTAGGTCTTAAGAGCAGATTTTGGTCTTTGACCTTTAGCCTGCCGTGTGACCTTCTCAGGGTTATTACCCTCTCCTATCTGTAGACAGGCAGATTCCTAAAGTGCAGAACCAGAAGCTTCGTGAGATCTCCTAGAAAGAGTCCTGAAAACCTGGCTTTTTGTCCAAGTTCTGTCCTTACAATTCGGTGAGGGTTCCAAAGTAACTTCCTCAAATAACTTACCAATCTGGTTTCAGATGTCATACATAAGATAAACCCGGGGCCTTTTAATGAAGCTTAGCCTAGTGTCATGGTTTAAAAACCTAGCCCTTGAAGGAGTCAGACTTAGCTCAGATCGCCCTCACGCTCTGAGCATCCAGGCGTCCTCAAATTACGGCCCACGGGCCACATGCGGCCCCACCTAGGACATTTATCTGGCCCGCTGGGTGTTTTTGCCACCGCTGCCTGTCCTGCTTAGCAGCCGAATCATCCCGGGGCCGCAGTCCGGCCCTCCAGCGGTCTGAGGGACAGTGAACTGGCCCCCTGATTAAAAAATTTGAGAACCCCTGATAGGCAAACATAAATTAGCATTGGCTAAAGCTTTCGAGTCCTGCAGTGTATGGTTTAAATAACAGAAATAATAGTACCTCTCTTCCGGATTCCTTGGAGAATTATAAGTAAAATACAATTTCTGGTTCACTGTAAGAACTCAATAAATGTTCACTACTACTTCTCAAAGCCGTTTCTACTCTAAACTTTCTCATCCATCTGACCTTGGCCGAAAAGTTGCCTAAGGAATAAAGAATAACCAAAAAGGAACAAAAAGACAAGAATTTTGATGTGGAAGGGCACTGGACCTGAAGTTGGAGAGCTAAATTAAGGGCTTATCCATTTCAGCTTCTTCATCTGAAAAATGAGAATCATAATTTTAAAATGTATAGCTTTGGGTCAGGCTCGGTTACTCACGCCTATAATCCTAGCACTTTGGGAGGCTGAGGTGCGTGTATTGCTTGAGCTCAGGAGTTTGAGAACAGCCTGAACGAGAGTGAGACCCCGTCTCCAGGCGGTGGTGCAGGCCTGTAGCACTCATACAGCTAAGGCAAGAGAATCACTTAAGCCAAAGAGTTTGAGGTTACTGTGAGCTGTGATGCTACAGCACTCATCCCAGAGCGACAGAGACTCTCTCAAAAAAAAAAAAACTGTAGTTTTTTTCATACCTTCTATCAGTATTGTACCCTGTCTGCCCTTTCTTCTACAGTTGTTGTGAAGGTCAAATAAGATAATAGGTTCAATAGCAGTTTTCAAAGAGTAGAGCAGAATATTAATGTCACAAACTACCTTCGGCAGTTTATGGCTAATAATACTGTTGGCTGGTCCAATATTAAACACTGGTCCCTCAAAGCTTCTTCAGAACCAACTATTACTGAATTCCTGGTTAAAAACACTTATGTCCTAGCCACTAGAGTAAGTTTTCATTTGTTCCTTCACAGCAGCCTGAGTTCATCTAAATAAGTTGAGATGATAAGTAATTTGCCAAAAATATGTAATATTTTATTTTATTTATTCATTTATTTATTTTGAAACAGAGCCTCAAGCTATTGCGCTGGGTAGAGCTCACAGCAACCTCAAACTCTTGGGCTTAAGCCGTTCTCTTGCCTCAGCCTCCCAAGTAGCTGGGACTACAGGCGCCTGCCACAACACCTATTTTTTTGGTTGCAGCCATCATTGTTGTTTGACGGGCCCAGGTTGGATTCGAACCCCACCAGCTCAGGTGTATGTGGCTGGCACCTCAGCCACTTGAGCCACAGGTGCCAAGCCGGAAGTATGTAATATTTTAAATATGACATCTAAAATTAATATCTAGATGGGCTGGTGGGTTGTACTAGCACTTTGTGAGGCTGAGGCAGGTGGGTAGTTTCAGGCCAGGAATTTGAGACCAGTTTGGGCAATATAATGAGAACCTGTGTATACAAAATAATTTTTTTTAATTTTTAAAGTAACATACATTTTTTTCTTCATTGAACAAATAATCAGGTGCCTATAATGTGCCAAGCAATGTGTTAGGCTCAGCCTGAAAGATGAAATGGTGAAGACACACATGAGGATATAGAAAAAGTATAATATATTGAGCTTGAGCCCCCAAACTTACACCAGAATATAGAAAACACTTGGTTGCTACCTTTTTTTTTTTTTAACCTAGAAGTGTCTACCATGAATAAAAAAATACCCCTCAAACTCTTGGGCTTAAGCCCTTCTCTTGCCTCAGCCTCCCAACAGCCTCCCCTGTTCTGGTCCATTCTTAAAATTAAATTCAACAAAAATTGATTGAGAATCAAATGTACATAAAGTAGTGTGTTGGGTTGCAAAGAATACAGTGAATAGAGAAACACTCCCTACCCTCAAAGTAGTTTTTCTCTCTTTTCTTTTTTTTTTTGAAACTGTTTCACTCTATCACCCTAGGTAGAATGCCATGGCATCATAGCTCACTACAACCTCAAACTCCTAGGTTCAAACAGTCATCTTGCCTCAGCCTCTCAAGTACTGAGACTAGGAGCCCCACACAACACCCAGCTAGTTTTTCTATTTTTAGTAGAGACTGGGTCTCTTTCTTGCTCAGGCTGGTCTCCAATTCCTAAGCTCAAGGGATTTTCCCACCTTAGCCTTCCAAAGTGCTTGGATTACAGGCGTGAGCATCTTACCTGGCCCCTCAAAGTGTTAACAACAGAATCATCTTATGATTAGTTTTAACTAAATATTGGTGCTGTTACACAAAACAATTGTGTATGAATTCTGTAAACCTGTTTCCAATCTTGAGTCTTATTTTTCTTTGCCATATCCAAGAACAACATGTAAAACTGTTTTCCTAATGTATTTTTTTATATTAATTCATTTTAAATATTAAATTTATTTAAAACAAATTAAGTTACATAAGTATCTCTTTAAATCATTTTAATTATCACCATTCACAAAATCTTTGGTTTGGTGTGCTTGTAATATTTGCAAAATGTACATTAAAATAAATTCTTGTCTGTTTTTAATAATAGGGAAATAGGTTATGGGGTTGATCCTTAGACCTACACTTGATGGGCATAAATGAAAATTAAAAGATTAAAACTCAATCCTGGCTCAGCACCTATGGCTCAAGTGGCTAAGGCGCCAGCCACATACACCTAAGGTGGCGGGTTCGAATCCAGCCCGGGCCCGCCAAACAACAATGACGACTGTAACCAAAAAATAGCCAGGCATTGTGGCAGGCGCCTGTGGTCCCAACTACTTGGGAGGCTGAGGCAGGAGACTCGCTTGAGCCCAGGAGTTGGAGGTTGCTGTGAGCAGTGAAGCCATGGCACTCTACCCAGGGTGATAGCTTGAGACTCTGTCTCAAAAAAAAAAAAAAAATCACTTTCATGCTTTATGTAGAACATTATAATGCACCTTTGAGAACAAAACAGTTTAAAATAATTCTTCATGAAAAGTTTAAAAAAGAAGGTATTTGGTGGGATCTCACCTAATGTATACAATATAAGGGTACATTTCAAAACAATTAAGAGTATGTTATAAATGTCTTACCACAAAAAATAAGGTGATGATTATGTTAATCAGTTTGATTTAAGCATTCCACATTGTATATCAAATCATCACATTGTACCCCATAAATGTATACAGTTATGATTTAATAAAAATTAAATTAAAAAATTTTAAAAAGAAAAGTTTAACAAAGAGATAGTAAAATCTTCATTTTATAAGTACTTCTTAAAATGTCTCAGTAATCATTTACATTTCAACAGTGAATCTTTAAACAGCTGGGAGTAGATTCTATATAAGACAGTAGTCATTGACTTTGACTGATAGGGCATCTTTCTCTAAGTCATCCTTTATCCCTTTAGGACATCCTGCTAAGCTAAAGCTGTAAGAAACAACACAAACAGAAGCTATTTCTCCTCTCTACCCCCAAATGACATTTTAAAGAGAATGTTGGCCTTCCCCCAGAGATACTCCCACTCGGCATCCTCCACATCTTTCACAAGAAGATGTCAATCCTTCCCAGCTCCGTGATTTTAAAGTATAGGGTTTTGCACTTGAACTACATAGTTCCACCTGAGGTCTCCACAGGGAGTATGACTGTTCAATACCTTTCAAAAGCTTGGCCTGGAGACATAATATTAATGGAGGATTTACTGAAAGACATGCAGTGTGAACATTCCTCTATCTCCAATGAAATGCCATTCAACTGCTGCCCTGCAGACCTGCCCTTACCCAGCTGTGCTATGGCAGCATGCCAGCTGCCTTTATTGAGGGCCAGAATGAGAAACAGGCCATGAAGCTGCTTCCTGGAGAAAATGGTCTAGAAGGACACATTCGTGAAATTTCTCTGTGGTCTTGATAACTGAAAAAAGTCAATGCTTTTTCTGAACAGTGAGATTGTCCCTTACAGACAATGTAAGACACACCTCTCTGTATCATCCTTCTCTGAAATGGCTGCTCTTGGGCAGAGCTGAATGTCCAGTCTACTTCTACTACATACTCTAAGCTCACCGGACTAGTTTGCTTCTATCTTCCCCTTCACCAGTCTTCTTACCTATTCATTTATCTTACCTGTTTATAAGTCTCATAAGCCCTTTTTGGAACAAGGCAAGTATAAATAAATGGATTAGGTGCCATATAAGCAAGAATTATTCTAAACATAAAGAAATCTGCTGGGCTCCCAAGAGATATTTTAATCTTCAGGGTTTGAAAATACACTTCATGATGCCAATAAGGATATAATCAGAGATCAGGCTTCACATAGAGATTAACGACATAGAGATTTTAGATTTAGGACTGTCATCTTTTTCCATAACATCTTACAAATGTAATGTTTTGAAAATAGACTGAGAAATACTTTTCATATTATCCCTTTTTCATTTAATAATGGGATTTATTTGCATGTATGATGATACATCCATAATACATTTAAATACTATTTAAATAATATAATTACCTACTATTTAACAACCATTTTTTGAAATTCCATCTGCAGTTGGTTTATTTATTATCATTTATAATTTTCTTATCCCCCCAAAAAATCTGAAGTAATTGATAATAAAATTACATATATACATATGTATTATCAAAGATAAAAAGAGATCAAAAGCTAAGGGTAAAATGCTTACTTGCAATCAAACACAAAATTCAGCAGTTTTCTGACATCCAAAGTTAAGAGGAAACAAAATAAGCTACAAAACTTTTAATTTCTGATAAGAGACGAAATAGATTTTTCCTATTATACTTATAACGAAAATAAAACCACTAAATTTTAAATCTAAAAATTAATCATTTTTTTAACTAGAGAGCTATCTTTTCAGACAGTTTTTTAGTATGTTTTGTTTTGTCCTATTTTTATATATGTTGGCGTGTGCCAGCCAAAGGCTGCTTGAAATATATACAAATTATATGGCATGCCATCTGACTTACAGTATTTATATTTTTTACAGTATACACCTGATCATGTAGTTGGACCCGGAGCAGATACCGATCCCACTCAAATAACCTTCCCTGGATGCATTTGTGTCAAAACTCCCTGCCTTCCTGGCACTTGCTCTTGTCTCCAGTATGAAGAAAATTACGATGATAATTCATGCCTTAGAGATACAGGATTGGAAGCAAAGTATGCCAAGCCTGTTTTTGAATGCAATGTCCTATGCCATTGTGGTGATCACTGCAAAAACAGAGTGGTTCAGAGGGGTCTGCAGTTCCACCTCCAGGTGTTTAAGACAGACAAAAAAGGCTGGGGACTTCGTACCTTGGAATTTATACCAAAAGGAAGGTTTGTCTGTGAATATGCTGGTGAGATTTTAGGATTCTCTGAAGTACAAAGAAGAATTCACTTACAAACAATACATGACTCAAACTACATAATAGCCATAAGGGAACATGTTTATAATGGGCAGGTAATGGAAACATTTGTTGACCCTACCTATTTAGGAAATATTGGAAGATTCCTTAATCATTCTTGTGACCCAAATCTATTGATGATTCCTGTCCGAATTGACTCAATGGTACCTAAGCTGGCACTTTTTGCAGCCAAAGACATTTTGCCAGAAGAGGAACTCTCTTATGACTATTCAGGTAGATTTCTTAATCTAATGGACAGTGAAGACAGAGAACAGGTAGATAATGGAAAACTAAGAAAACCTTGTTACTGTGGTGCCAGATTCTGTACTACTTTCCTACCCTATGACAGTTCACTGTACTGTCCCTTAGAAAAACCAAACATCAATTAGGAAGGAAACTGCCCAACTACTAAGAGAGGACAGTGAGGGTAATGAGAGAACCAAGCACATATATGGCTCAACCCCCTGTGTCTTCTTCTCTTTCAAGCAACTTAACCCTTAAGGTAAGTCTGCTCTGGGCATGCAGGTTGCCCCTCTTTATAAGGAAAGTTGGTGGTTGTCTAGCTTTGTCTCGACTTGGTTGCATAAGTTTAAGTTAGCAATGTGGCAGAAACTACAAGTTGTCCATCGATATAGAATTTTCGATTTACCTGGGTACATGACTACCCAGAATACTCACTTCTCTGCTTAGATACGGCTGAGTGACTTTGTTCCAGCTAATGGAATATAAGCAAAATGCTGTGTCCTTAAATGGAGATCTGCCCTTTTCCTCCTCTTTCTTTTGTCTGGAATGTATACATTATGACAAGAGCTAGAATAGCCATCCCAGACCCCAAGATGACCCTAGGAAAGGAAGCCATGCTTAACAAATCATAAGATAGAAAGGAATCTAGGTGTCTGGTACTGTAGAACATTTCAGCCATCCTGACCTGACACATCTGGACTTTTTGATGAGAAAGTCTTTCCATTGTTTAAGCCACTGTTATTGTGAGCTCTCTAGCACTCGAACTGAACCTTATTATAATGATCCAAGAAAAACCCTGGTGTCTACATACTTAAGCCCTGCTTTCCAACCAATTTCGTTAGTAATAAAACTGACATTTTGATTTCTGTCTGACGCTCCTGTATCTTATTTCTCATCTGTTTCTAAGCACAGATGAAGGAAAAAGGCATGACTGATTACCACCTGCTAAAACTCTAATAATTATCACCAATAGAGAAAAAATATAACCAAGGAAATGTTTTCTGTGTTATAATCAAAAGTACAAAAAGGAAACACATTGTTAATTTTTCATTATATACCTGGCTATATTCCAAAACTTGTGAAGTTAGGCGTCAAAACTTCAAACAATCTCACTTCTTCATGTATTAATAACAAAATAACTCTGGCAACATCACAAGAGGAGATAGAAGCTTTTTTTTTTGTTTTTTGTTTTGTTTTTGAGACGGAGCCTCAAGCTATCCCCCTGGGTAGAGTGCCATGGCATCACGCTCACAGCAACCGCCAACTCCTGGGCTCAAGCAAGTCTCCTGCCTCAGCCTCCCAAGTAGCTGGGACTACAGGCACCCGCCACAACGCCTGGCCATTTTTTGGTTGCAGCCATCATCGTTTGGCGGGCCCGGGCTGGGGATTCGAACCCGCCACCTTAGGTGTATGTGGCTGTCGCCTTAGCCGCATGAGCCACAGGCGCCGAGCCGAGGAGATAGAAGTTTTATAATCTCATTTAAACTTCTAGTGCAGCAAACGTCTCTACCTTCCTTAAAGCAAAGATTTTGTAGAAGTATAGTTACTATTCAGGACTATTAGATGTTTGAAAGCTAAAGTAATTATCTGTGCCCCTATAATATTATTAAATAAATAATTTCTTCTGTAGTACAATTTAATCCTACCACTATAAGTCCCTGCACTTTAAGCAGGGGTCCTCAAACTTTTTAAACAGGGGGCCAGTTCACTGTTCCTCAGACTGTTGGAGGGCCGGACTATAGGCCCTGGGACGAGTTGGCTGCTAAGCAGGACAGGCAGCGGTAGCAAAAACACCCAGCGGGCTGGATAAATGTCCTCGGCAGGCTGCACGTGGCTCGCGGGCCATAGTTTGAGGACCTCTGATAAGGATTCCAAAAAAAAAAAAGGCAGCGCGTGTGATTCAAAGGAGGAGGGCACTGGCCCCATATGCCAGAGGTGGCAGGTTCAAACCCAGCCCCAGCCAAAAACTGCAACAACAAAAAAAGTTATAAGGATTCATATTTTATATAACACTCCATATAATGTATGTTGTACACTTTGAATGAGTGAAATCTGTAGTATGTGAATATCTCAATAAAGTGGGTTTTTTTAAGTATGTTAGGGTTTATATGTTCATAGAAATCAAAAATGATGCCCTGTAAATTAAAGATTCTGGAATGCACATAAACTATAAAAGTGTGATGTCAAACATTTTCCTCCATACTGATCATTTCAGTTTTCATCTGTCACTTTGATTTATCTGAAGCAGTCATGCTTATCATAAGGCAGCTTATAATCCTCACTCCAAAATGGCATTTATCCTCTTCACAAGCTCTCCTGATAACTGAGCTACTTCAGAAGTAATAAGCAAATGGCCAGAAGCAGAAGGAAAATGATTGGCTCACTGTTTGATTTTTGCAGATCCCTTTTTCTATCTCCTTTTGCCTTTCTCTATTGAACATCAGATGCCACAGAGGACAATCTTCTGTTCAGAGACATGGGCACAAGCAGCACTCTCCATCTTGGTATCTCTGCCAGAGAAAAAAACTGATTAAATATGGACCCTTGGAATGTTTTGTCCTCAGCCACTAGTTTATTCTTAAATAGCACACGGTCTCAGAAATCATATTCCTAAGCTAAGGGTCAAAGGTTTTTCCTATTCCAAGGTTTTTCTTTTATTTCCTCCAAGTTTCTCTAACTATTACATTAAGTGTGATAATGTCTTATTCTTAAGAATGTTGGGGCAGCGCCTGTGGCTTAAGGAGTGGGGCGCCAGCCCCATATACTGGAGGTGGCAGGTTCATACCCAGCCCCAGCCAAATAAAACTGCAAAAAAAAAAAAAAAAAGAATGTTGACACTGGCTCAGCACCTGTAGCTCAGTGAGTAGGGCACCAGCTGCATACGCTGAAGTTGGCGGGTTTGAGCACGGCCTGGGCCTGCTGAACAACAATGACAACTGCAACCAAAAAATAGCCGTGCATTGTGGCGGTCACCTGTAATCCTAGCTACTCAGGAGACTGAGGCAAGAGAATCATTTAAGCCCAAGAGTTTGAGGTTGCTATGAGCTGCGGATGCCACGGCACTCTACTGAGTGCAACATAATAAGACTCTGTATCCAAAAAAAAGAATGTTGACACTTGTCTTATTCTTAAAGATGTCTTATTAAGAATGTTGACACTTCAAAGAAAACATTTAAAAATACACTCCTGCTTAACTATTATCCCATGATAATGTAAATTTTTATAATTTTAAATTATAAGATTAGAATTTTAAAATATGGCATATGTCTTCACATGTGTCAATAAACAGAAAAAACATTTGACAAAATCCAATACCTTCTCAATACCTTCTTGAACAAACTAGAAGTAGACAGGAAATATAAGCTGAGAAAAGATAGATATGAAAACCCACAACGTTAGTTATTAGAGAAATGTAAATTAAAACTACAATCAGATACCACTTACTAGGATAGTTAAAACCAAAACGACAATTACAGATATTAAGAATGTGGGGAAATTGGAGCCCTCATATATATATTGCTGGTTGAGTTGCAAAATTGCACAACTATTTTGTAAATTAGTTTGGCAGTTTCTCAAAACATACATAGAATTACCACTCCTAGGTGTAGACACAAAGAGAATGGAAAACATTTCTACAAAAAATTTTGTACAAACATTCTATTCACAGTAGGAAAAATGTGGACACACCCCAAATATCCATCAGCTGTTATTCATAGCATCTGGAATATTAGTTGGCCATAAAATGGAATGAAATACTGAATCATGCCCTGACCTGGATGACCCTTGGAAACTTTGTTAAGTGAAGGAAGACAAACACCAAAGGTCACATACCATGTGATTTTATTTATATGAAATGTCCAAAATAGGCAAATCCATAGGAAAGTAGCTTAATGGTTGCCAGGGGCTGGGGATGGGAGGGAGTATAAGGAGTGACTGCTAATTGCTAATGGGTACTTGGTTCCCATTAGGGGTGAGGTAATGTTCCAGAATTAGTGGTGATGGCTCCACAACTTGTGACTATACTAAAAAGTATTTTAATGGAGTGAATTTTACGTGAGTTATATTTCCATAAGGCTGTGATAAAAAGAACAGGAAAGAAGAGGAGGTAAAGAAGTAGGAGGAGGAAGATGAGAAGGAGGATGACTCCATGGTGCCTCTCACTTGTGTGAACTAAAATAAAATTTTAACACCCCCCACCCGATGGAGTGGAACTCTCCTTGGCCAAAAGAACCCCAGAAAAACCTAAAAGCTGATTTGCCCATTGCAGTGAGAAGGGAGGTCAGATATGCCTCATTATGCCCCAGCCTTTGAGAGTTAGTCTTTGTAACAAGATACTAAATCCTTAACAGGCCTAAGGTCATGCTAGACAAAGCTTAAACTACACTTGCAGGCCATCAATTTACTTAATTTATGCCTAGTGCCAACTTGCAGCAGCAAAAGCAAACAGCTACAAGGTTAGCTGTCTCTGAATTAAAAGAATACAGGGTGTGCTAGGAAAGGTAAAACTGGAAAGCGCCAGAGTTCTCTGGATCCTAAGAAATTAGCCAATGTGAGGAAGAAGCTGAAAATAGCAAAGAGGCACTGACGGAAACAAAGAGAAAAACTCACAGGCAGCAGGACTAAGCTCAAGAGGAAGGCTCAGAGGGCAGCGGGCAGGCTGACCGCAGAGTGTGCACAGCCTTGCTCTACACGGGCCTCGTGAGGCCAAATTCAAGGATACTATCTTTTCCCTTTTCTGAGAGAAAGTGAGATTCCCTAAAACTCATGATGTCTGTCTTTAGGCATAAAGACTATTACTAGTTCATAGGATTTCCCCTTTATCCATCTAGAAGCAAAGATGCAGTATACAAAAATTTTTAATAAATCCAAACCATAGTATTAATCCTCCCTCCAGAGGTGGCGAAAGTCACATTCCACCTGCCAGGGCTTACCCTTGATGGGAGTCTGTTGCAGGCCTGTGAACGGCACTGAAGGCAGCTTCTTAGAAAGCTGGCAGCTTCTGCTGCTGTGTTTGTGGAGGGATGCGGACCTCAATGTGTGTATATGTGTGGCATGCACAGAAGTGTAAGGATCTGGCTTCAAACGTCAGGGAAAAGACATTTCACAGTTACAGTGATGTTCCCTCTGGCACTAAAGTAACTTCACAAAAGATAACCACTGTATTTTTTTTTTTTCTGTAGAGATAGAGTCTCATTTTATCACCCTCAGTAGAGTGCCAAGGCATCACACTGCTCACAGCAACCTCCAACTCCTGGGCTTAGAAGAGTCTCTTGCCTCAGCCTCCCGAGTAGCTGGGAATATAGGTGCCCACCACAACACCTGGCTATTTTTTTGTTGCAGTTTGGCCAGGGCTGGGTTTGAATCCACCACCCTCGGTATATGGGGCCGGTGCCCTACCCACTGAGCTACAGGCGCCGCCCCACTGTATTTTTTTTAACATTAGACAAAAATGGGCATTCAGATTATTTCTTTTACAA